CTACCGTGCAGGATGATGCATAACAAACAGGACACGGCCACCACTCGTGGAACTCAGAGGCTAGAGGAAATATCCCGAAAGTAAAGGACTACAAATGAGGGGACTCTTCCTTCTGCTGGTGAGTCACTGAGACTGAGCGAAGAGCTGCCCCTGGAGCTGGCCTCCCTGAAAGACGGGGGTGCAGAGCAGAGCAGGGAGGGTGGCGCTGGCGGAAGACATGGCATCAACGGCGGTGTGCACAGCGCGGACGGTGGGGAGAACTGCAAGGAGCAGAGGGGCTCTGAGACAAGCTTGTGAAATGTTTAAACACAAGCAAATCACCAAAAGAGTCGCACTTCTCTGCTCTTTCTAAGGTCTAAGCAAGGACATAGGTCTACAGGAAGGGGTGCCCCACTGGTCGGAGGGGAGAGGGATTCCCACATCTTCCGTTCACAGTTCCTCTCCTGTAACCGAATGCTTCTCAAACGAACGCCACTTCCCGCAGACCCCAGGGGGACTCCTTGGGCCATCGGCTCAGCGCGGGGTTGGGGGGACGGTAAGTCAGAGGAAAGGCAAGCCTGCAGCCTGCAGGCATCGGAGTCCGAGGGACCCGAGCCCGAGTGCCAGCCCTGACACTGACTACAGCTGCGTGACCGGAATGGGGCCTACGTTTCCGCCCCTGTAACACTGGGATAAGACAGAACGCTGTTCTCTCTAAAGGGTTATAATGTATCTAAAGAACTTGTTGAACCTGCTTCAAAAGCCATAATCCACAGAGTGAAAAAGACAACCTACGGCATGGGAGAAAGTATTTGCAAAGGATAGGCAGTATCTGAGAAGGGATTAAAACCCAGATGTACTAAGAACTCCTATAACTCAACAACAAAAGAAACTGAAATGATTCAACGAAAAAAATGGGCAAAGGACTTGACCAAACATTTCTCCAAAGATGACATACAAATGGCCAACCAGCACATGAAAGAAAGGACGTCATTAGGGAGATGCAACCTGAGACCACAGCGAGATGACAACTCATCCCCTTCACGATGGCTACTATCCAAAAACGAAAAGTAAGTGTTGGCAAGGATGTGGGCACAGTGGAACCCTGGGACCCGCTTGGTGAAAATGAAAATGCAGCCATTATGGAAACCAGGATGGTGATTCCTCAAAAAACTTAAAATAGAATTTCTATATGATCTGGCAATTACACTGGGTACATATCCGAACGAACTGCAAACTGTGTCTCGAAGACATATTTGTACACCCACGTTCACAGTGGCATTATTCACAATAGCCAAAAGGTGGAAGCAACCCAAGTGTCCATAAATGAATGGATAAGCAAAGTGCGGCACATCCATACAATGGAGTATTATTCGGTCTTAAAAAGGAAGGAAATCCTGGCACATAATTCAGTATGAAACACCCTTAAGACATTATGTAAGGTGAAATAAACCAGTCACGAAAGGTCAAGTACTGCATGATTGCACTTACATGAGGTACCCAGAGCAGTCGAATTCATAGAGAGGAAAAGTAGAATGGTAGTTGCCAGGGACTGGGGGAGGAGAAAGCAAGAGTTATTTAAACAGCACAGAGTTTCAGTTTCTTGAGACGACAAAGCCCTGCAGATGAGCTGCACAACATGAGTGCACTGAAAGCCACTGCTCTGTACAGTTAAAAAAGACGAAAATGGTAAATTTTATGGTATGCGTATTTTACAACTGTTTTTTTTAAAAAGCATCTACCGTGGTGGTTCTCATATTTCAATAAGCATCCGTACAATCCAAGATTTGTTTTAAACGTGCAGATTTGGGGCCCTTTCCTCAGATATTCTGGGTTTGAGGTCCTGGCATCTGCATTTTCAGAAACATCCTGGGGATGTTTGACTCACTGAGTACATATTCATTTCTATGTCTCTCCTACAGGATCAGGGGATATTCTTTTGAACACTTTGCTTTGCTGATTAAGTATCCATTTTTTAAAAATCTGCGTGCGCGCATGCATGCGTGTGTGTGTATGTGTGTGTGTAGAGCAACCTCATGTTGTTGACTCTAGCCACAGGCTCAACTAGATGGCCATCTAGTCCTCAGGGAAGTATGAGCTACAAAGCTCCAATATGGAGGTCCTGGGCTCCAGACCCACGGGCCTCTCACATTTCAGCCTGGACAAGCTCTGCATCTCGCCAGAAGTGTGTCAAGTAAACCAAACACATGCCCATAGGATGTCCCCAGCAAGGAGGTGATGTCAAGCGCACCCCGCAGTGCCTCCGCCTCCCAAGCAGCTAGGGAGAGGAGACCCCACACAGGCAACCCCATCGCAGACAGCGCAGACGATGCAGGGAAACCGCCATTCCCAAGGGCAGCCCAGCAAGCCGAAGACCTGGGAGAGCCAGGGAGGGCCTCTGAGTGAGCAAGAACAGCCTGGGGGAGAGGCGGCTTTGCTCAGGGAACCCGGGCCTCCCCTCCCACAACCTAACAAGCAAAGGAGACTGCTCACCCAACCGCAGCCCACTAAGTACAGTGTTCTCAGCCCACCACATCCAGCCATGTAGTCATTTGTTATCTTCATCATCATAATAGCACCTTTGACATTTCCCATGGTGACTCCAACGCCATCATTACTTTCCAGTGTGGCAAGGATGTCGCTCTTTAGGCATGAGGCGTGGAGCACTTCTGACCTGCTAGGGCAGGGGGGCCCAGGGCACCTGGATTCGGATGCCCCCAGAAGCAGATCTGCTGTGAAACTGACAGAGATTAACTTTCAGCCCCCACCCCACCCCTTCCAAGGCCCTGAGAAGGGATCCAGGAATGTGTTTGAACATTCAGTCTTGTGAAATGTACTAAAGTAAGATACTCTCATATTTCTTTTTCTTACAGCCACTCCACCACACACATATTGTCTAAATAGCAGGCCCACAAAACTGGGGCCTGTCCCTGAATCCCACTTAAACTTAGTGAGGACCCCATCATCCACGATGTCACACGTATTCACATACACTAGCTCATTCAGCCTTACAGGGTACGATTTATCCTTAAGCCACTTTGACGAATAAGGAAATAGGGATTCAGAAAGTTTCCATGAGGTTCTATGACTTGTGTAGGGTGATCTGAGTTCCAGGAGGTAGATTGGGACTCAAATCCAAGCCCCTAAATTCAAGCCTCTAAATTTTTACTCTAGCATCCCTTCCTAGTTACCCCGGAGAAGAGTTAAATAATAACCACAAACAGAAAAGCACTCTATAAAAAGGAAAAAAGGAAGCTCCTCTTCTGATTAATCAGTTAACAAACCCTTCATAATAACCAGTCACTTTTACTGACCAATTTGCCCTGTGGCAGGCACGGAACTAAGCACTTCTCTTGCAATATTTCATTTAATTCTCACCATAATTCTCTGAGATAGAGATTCCCATTAGCCTCACTCTACAGGTGAGGCACCTGAGGCTCAGAAAAGTTCATCGATTTGCCTGAGAACACACAGGGAGTAGGAAATCCAAGGCTTAAGATGAGGGCTAATTCTAGAACCCTTGTGTTTAATACACCACGGTGCACTATTCCAGCTGTAGTGGGGAAAGCCCACCAGCCGGATGGCGGCGGGGCAGGGAAAATGCCTTCAGCACAGATCAGGAGTGTGGCCAAAAATGCTGGAAGGAAGGACTGAACACTGTGCATTGCAGAAGATGATTCTAGGTTCAAATGAACCAGCGATTGCCATGTCTACTGCTTCCCATGGGCCTGGGTGCCGGGCCCCAGCAGATGCCCTCTCTCCGGGGCCCCATCTAAATACTCTGTGTATGGCACAGTAATATCCCCAAGTACCCTGCACAACTTTCAGAGAGCAAGAAAGGTGTCACCCATCTCCTGTAACTAACCTTCCGAGTGCACTGAGTTTTTCAGTTAGTCTAGGCATCCACGGAGCTGATCTCCTAACTTTTCTAAGGCTTTTCTGGTGCAGCTGATAAGATTTTCCTGCCCCGTTAAAATGAGATGAGATCCAGCCAGCTGTCGAGACGTGTACAATGAGATTATATTGAGGAGGAACCACCAGAGACAAAGGCCGCTAAAGAGGCATGGCCTGCTGTCTGCTTTTGTGGCAGAAATCTGAGGGGGCGCTGCTTGGGTGGGGGCAGGGAGCAGAGAGGGGGCAACAGGCATTTGCCTTTTGCCCTGGTGTGGCCTTCCTCTGCGCCTTGCTGAAAAGGCAGCCGAAGAGCAGGGAACAGAAGACTCACATTTTTAATGGTGAGAAAGGCTGATAATTTAGGAAGAGTTACGTGTTGGTAACAAAGAGGACAAAGATGCTCATGGGTCTGCCTGGGCCTGTCTCTGGGGTTCTGATGTCCCCTGGCGCTAGGCCACAGCTCTTGTCCCAATCCCTACCCTTGAGCCTCACTTGAGCTGGAGTCCCTGTGGGGTGCTCATCAACACACCCACCATCCTTCCAGGATGAGTATCCTGGGTCTCAGGTGCCCAGGCCAGGTGCCTCATCTTGCAGACAGGTGCCCTAGCTACTGGGTTTCCTCTCAGCTGCGCCCGGGTCACAGATGAGGCCACACCCCAGAGGATGCCCGAGGCTCAGGTGCACTCTGGGCTGCACCCACGTGATTACGGAGAGCTGGACCCCAGGCCAAGCCGGTCAAACGTCTGTCCAAAGTCTATGCCCAGGCGGCCTGGGCACAGGTGAGCCGCCTCACCTCTCACACAGGCGGAGGGGGCTCTCTGCGGGCCCTCACCTGTCCCGGCCCTGGGGGCGCTGCTTGCACTCGGGTCCCCGAGCTCCGTACCTCCTGCCCGCTGCAAGGCCAAGCTGGGATGGGAAGCCGCGGCGCGCAGGGCCGGGCAGAGGCCGTTGGGCCTGTCCCCGCCGCGGGCCGGGCACGGAGCCCGCAGGCCTCAGAGCGCTCGGCTCCGCCCGTCCGCCCGCCCCTCGGCCCGGGGCCTGAGCCCGCCCGCCCGCCCGCCCGCCGGGGCAGCAGGGCCGGCCCGGCCGAGCCTCCGCGGCGCCCGGCCCGCACGGCCTCACTTAACTGTTCCCCGCTGGGGCGGCGGCGGCTGCGGCGGCTGCGGCGGCGGCGGGTCCCGGCTCCGTCTCACGCAGAAGCAGCTTCTCATCGCCCGGGCGGCGCGGGAGGGGCCGGGCCCGGGGCCCAGGCGGCGGGGCCGGCGCCGCAGCTCGAGCGCGAGCCTCACCGGGAGCGGCGGCGGCGGCGGGGGCGGGGCGCGGCCTGGCGGCGGCGGCGACAACAGCAGCGGCGCTCCCGACGCGGGCCGGGCTCCGGGCCTCCTGGCTCTGGCGCTGGCTCCGGGGGTGGCAGCCGGCGCCCCAGGCTGGCTCGGGCGGGAGGATGGAGCGGGAACCCTGGGACCCCCGGCGTCCGGAGCCCGCGCCGCCGCCGCCTAACCCTAACCTGCCTCCCCCGCCAACCCCGGCCTCACCCACGGCCGCGCCGCCAACCCGGGCCTCAGGGAGCCTGCAGGCAGCCCCAGTGCAGCCTCAGACCCCCGGGAGCCCCGGGCCTTTTGGAGCCTGGGACACCAGTATCCCCTCCCCCAAGTTGGTCTCTTCCAGGGACCAGCAGCCCACTCAGTTCCCCTAGGCCTCACTGCATCCTTGACCAGTCATAGCGCACTGCCTCAGATGCCTAGAAGCCCCCAGGCCTCTTGGAGCCTTGGCTAACCGTTACACACGCCTACACACGCCTCTTGCAGGGACACTGGCCGACCCAGCCCTTCTAGGCTTTCCTGAAGCCCAGGCCAATTCTTCTGCTCATCTCACTCCAGTTCAGGGGGCCCCACTGCCCCACTTAACCCAACACAAGCTTAGTCAGACCCCAAACCCACTGTTAGTCCCAGGCCTCTCAAACTGACCCCAATCTCCTAGCAAATTCCCATTTCCCCATATGCTGCGCCACAGAGGTCTCGAGCGAAAATTATGGGGCCCACCCCAGGGAAGCAGCTAGAGGGAGAGGTTTAAGCAGAGATGCTACCCTACAGCACTCAGGGAAAGGCACACGCCAAACATGTGCTGCACAGCCCCAGCAAGGCACCCCCGAGCAGGGGCCAGCATTCTGTTTGAAAGGATTCTGGTCAGAAGGCTGGAGCATTTGGAGCTGAGAACCATGCAGGAGTGATGTGCATCAATTTGCTAATGCATCAAGTCTCATTTTCACACATTCTAGGCATTTCCAAAATAGCTGTCTGATCCTTAAAAAAAAAAAAAAAAAAAAAAAAAAAAGGGTGCCAAGCAGAACTGGCTGCTGAAGAAAAGGTCCTGTGGGAAAGCTGTGCAAGTGTGTCCATTCCAAGTACATGTGTCACCCAAATGCCGCTGGTTCAGAAGGTCTCACAGGCAAGTCCCAGCAAACCATTCAGGACAGACGTCTGCTATGTTATTTAAACTGTTATAAAGGGGAGGGGGGAGAAAAAGACAAGAAGTTTTTAATTTCACTTCCCTAGTTTAGCCTAACCAGAGACCAAAACCCAACAGAGATAACACCAAAAAGAGAAGTGCAGGTCAATACAGAACACTAGTTCCCTGAGAGTTTAACATATGTTATCTGCAGTCAAGTGATTTGAGAAACTGCTCCATGCCATTTATTATCTCCCTTTTGGAGAATCACGGTAAGTACTAATATATTAAGGTCTATGTGAAGTCCAGGAGTAAAGAAACCTGTTTAACCTGGCATTTCTCAAACTCATCTGAACCAGGACCAGAAGTTTACCAATTAATCTTCAATATGTAAATCACTGCTATAGACCAACCCACTTAAGTATATTGTTGTTGTAAAACTACTACATAAAATTTTAGCAATTTAAATCCAGATTGCTGTAAAGCAAATCAAAACCCACCATAATCAAGCAAGATTCATTTCAAAAGTACAAGGATCATTCAACATTAGGGAATCTGTAAATTCATCACTTTGTTAGAGGAAAATAAATCACAGGATCTTATCAACAATATAGATGCTTTAAAAGAATTTAATAAACTTCAGCTACTTATAAAATTTTAAAAACCTCTTACTGAACTAGGAAGAAAATTTAAACATCTGAGCATGACAAAGTTTATCAAAAGCCATCAACAAACTTTCTAATGGCAAAACACTAAAGTTATTCTCATTTAAGCAAAAAACAAAACAATGACGTCTGCTATAATTGCTAAAAACTGAAGCCAATGTAATAAAATAAGAAAAATAAATAAGAAATAAAAATATTGGAAAAGAAGAGACAACTTTGTCGTTATTTGTTCATGACTTAAGCACCTACCTAAAAATAAAAACTGAGGAGAATTCACTAAAAATTTTAGAGGTTCCAGTAAAGGTAACCATTAAAGCCAGTTATAAGGTAAACATCAAAATCAATGGTTTTCTTAAATGCAAAGGGGAAAATCTTCTTGTCCATATAGAAGGACTTCCATTAGAATAAGACCCTTGGCCTCTCTTGGGTGTGGATACATGGAACAGACCGACAGGTGTCTGGGGTGCAAGAGGACTGGATGAAAGGAGGTGAGGGGATTAGTCAAAGGACATGCATGCCTGACCCACAGACACAGACAACAAGGCGGTGACGGCGTGAGGGAACGGGGAGCAAGGGATGGGTGGGGATGGGCAAAGGTAGGGAATGGGGACGACCATAATAGTGAAACAATAAAAATAAAGTTAAAAAAGAAGACTCTGGGTCTCTCTCCACTGTTGGCGGGGGAGGGGGGATGAGTGACTTGTCTGGTTAGTGACTTTGGGAGAAGGAAGTGGATAAGAATAGATGCTTCAGAGTTCTGTTTTTGGCGTTGGCTGATGGCAGGGAGCAAATATTTTCAGGTGCTCTCCACTGCGTGGTAAATAAACCTGTTTCTGGGGCACAGAGATATTATTGCCCAGTACTGCCTGCTGCTGTAGAGGTAAATCTATCCAATTCAAGGGGAAATACGGGAAGCCCACTTGTTGATACAGCTACGTTTTCTAGACAACTTTATTAGCAATAAAAGAAGTATTTTTATTTCTTACATCTCTTTCCTATATCTATGCCTCATTTTCTTCCAAACTAAGAAGAGGGAGCAAGGTATTACTTATAGGAGCCCCTAAATAAACCATTAAATACCAGTAATTTCCATTTAGAAAGTGTATTTTTTAAAAATTTACATTCACATTAGCAATGAATACAATAAAATACCTTGGCATAAACTTAAACTTTTCTGTGGCAAGGCACACAGAAAGAAATTTAAAAATCTTACATAAGGACATACAAGAGGTTCTTAATCAATGGAAAAGCTTAACAGATCCCTGGGCAGGAAGTCTCAATATTGCAAAAACATCATATCTCCCCAACTCAATTTATAAATTGAGTGTAATCAAAACCAAAGAACAAACATGGCTGGGGGGTGCAATACTATGGAATGTGACAAAGTTATTTTAAAACTTATCTTGATAAATAAATATAGGAAAACAATCCAGGAAATTTTTGAAATTGAATAATTATATTAATATTATTATGATGAGATTACAATAATAATGATGAATATAAAATATGTGAGCTTTACATTATATTTTAATATCTGTTACAGCAGTATTGTGTGTAGGAATACAGACTTCTATCATATATTAAATTCCCTGTTTATAAATGCTTTGTTTTTATCCACTGATCTATTTGTATATTCTTTTTTAAAAGATTTTACTTATCTACTTATTTGTTTTTTAGAGAGAGCGGAAGGGAGGAAGAAAAAGAGGGAGAGACATATTAATGTGACAAGGAAACACCAACCGGCTGTCCCTCGCACACGCCCCAACCAGGACCTGGCCTGTAACCTAGGCATGTGCCCTCACAGGGAATCGAGCCAGTGACCCTTTGGGTCACAGGCTGGCGTTCAACCCGCTGAGCCACACCAGCCAGGGCATATTTGTGTACTCTTAACACCCCACTCCAAACTATATTCTCTTGCCTAGACCCCTTCAATTTCTTTACTAGTCTCCTGGCTTAGTCTCTGTCGAAACGATCGAAAACAGCAACCAGAATAATCATGAAAAAATAATAAAACGCAACAAGTCACTCACTTGCTTAAAGCCCTCCAATGACTCTCCATAAAATAAAATAAAATTCAAATGCTTCAACATGACCTCCAAGATCTCGTGTCATCTGGACGTCGCCACCCCGCCCTCATCTCAGCTGCTCTAGCCCCAGCAGCTTCCTCTGAGATCTTTAAATATCAAAGCTTTTTCCTTCCTGGGGATTTTGCCTATAGCGCTCCTCTTCTCCATCCTTACAGCGCCTGGATCCCCTCATCCTTAAACTCTTCGGCCTCAATGTCACCTCCTTGGAAGCCATCACTGGTCATCTGTCTAAGTAGGTCCCTGATGTTTTCATACCACAATTCATTTCCTGCTTATCACTCATCACAATGTGTAACTCCCTACTATTTGTTCATCTGTTCAACCATCAGTCTCTCCACCAGACTAAAAGCTCCAAGGTGTCTGTTCATCAAGCATAAATGTGCAACACATACTAGCCCCTCAGTAAACATTTGCTTAATAGATAGATGTGTCAACACTTAATATGTGCATACCCTTTGCCCATGTCTAATAATTATCCAAAGTAAACAATCAGGCAAGTGCACACAGATGTATGTTCAAGGATAATTATTTCAGCATTGCTGATAATGAGAAAATATTGGATATATCCTAAATGTCTAGCAGTAGAAGATGGAGTCATTTAAAAAAAAAAAAAAAAAGGCTGTACTGGCATAGAAATAAAAAGCAGGCTATAGAATAGAATGTATTTATTCTACCAACTTGTTGATTTTATATTTAATTGTGATTTTCTGTATATATTAATATATGCATAAAATACTTGGGAAAATGTATACCAACATTAACAGTTTAATAGTAGCTATATCTGGAGGGAGGGTAGAGACTTTTTTAAGTCCTCACCAGAGGACATGCTTATTGATTTCAGAGAGAGGGGAAAGGAAGGGAGGGGGGAGGGAGAGAGAGAAATATCGATGCAAGAGAGAAACATCGATCACTTGTCTCTCGCAGAAGCCCAGACCAATGACTGACCCCACAAACCAGGCACGTGCCCTGACTGGGAATCAAACCTGTGGCACGTCAGTTTATGGGCTGATGCTCCAACCAACTGAAAGTCTCCAACCAAAAACCTCTATCCACACCAGCCAAGGTGAAGGTAGATACTTTTATCTTCTATTTCAGCATATCTGTATCT